TTATGAACATTTTGTATAAATGGACTGATAAAACAAGTGATCTTTTCTACCAGTCTTCCTACAATTAGCATAGTATTCATCAGGTTTACACATGACAGAGCATATATCAGTATTTCATTCCTTTTCATAGATGTATAGTAGTTCACTGTAGTGATGTACCAACTTTCTTGATCCATTCACCAATTGCTGGCTATTGGGATATTTTAAACACATTGGTTATTTTGAATAATTTTAGTGTCTCCATTTGCTTCCAAGACTTTATTTGGACATATGTTTTTATTTCACTGAAGTATAAACCTAGGTGTGAAATTTCTTGATAATTGAGTAAATTTGTTTAGTATTTTTTAAATTGTCAAATTGTTTTGCAATGTGGTTATATCACTTCCCATTTCCACAAGCAAGGCATGAGAGTTTCATTTCTTCACAGCAACATCAACAGTATCTGTCTTTTTTTAATATAGCCATTATAGTGAGTGTGAAATGATATCTCATAGTGGTTTTAGTTACCTCTCTCTTTGCAGTCAATATCTGGCCCAGCTCAATTTCTCTCAATGTTTGTAGATTTCAGTTCCTTGCATTTTAATTTTAGTAAAAACTCTTTCTGTCCTAATTCTTAGTGCTTGCAAACAACATAGATTTTTTTTTCAATAATGCAATATCTCAATAACTAGACCTCAGTTTCTTTAACAACTCCATACATATAATTTCATGAAGCTGAATTTTTACTACTTATCTATCCAGCTTACCCTTAAGTGGTTCAGACATACTCCTTTGGACTCCATTGAAATACTTCACCATTTAAGTTCTCCTCATCTTCATAATGTTCTCATTTCCCTCCTTAATTAGCTTTGATTCCATAGTTCATATTTTAATCTGTCTTTTGCATTATTAGTTCCATTATCACAGCCATGCTTTCCTTTATACTACCCACTGGTAGATGCAATTCTTTGCCTGTTCCTAGAGTCAATTGTTGCCGGAGAAAGCCAGTCCTGTTTACTGGCTTTATTTTAATATCATGACTATTAGAATCAAGGGACCCTTAGTCCTGCTAGGGGGACCTTTAACATTTTCCTAGTTATTCATTAACCTATTTCTTCCCATCTCATCCTTTAGCTTCACAACTCTAGCTGCTTTCTGCCCATTCTCATTTCCAGCTGCTGATTTCACTCTGGGAAAAGAAACAGTCATAAATAAAATTTCCTCAGCATGTTGTTAACCATATACTCTACGTTCTTTCCTATTGTCATGGATGAGAAGTCCATACTCTTCTTTAAATAACTCTTCTACTTGAGCACTATATTTCCATCCTTTTCACAAAGTTGTAATTTCAACATTTTTTTTTTCTCTCTTCATTGTCCTGTCTCCTTTAGCTCCTCAATTAATCTCATCAGCTCTTAACAACACATGTTAAGTGCTATATTCCCATCTTAAAAATAAAATAATTCTTCTTGACACATATTTTGTTCTAGTTACTGCCTTTTTACCTAAACTTTTCTTGAAAGAATTATGTATACTCAATGGCTGGCTTTTCTTCCTTTTTTCTTTTCCTGAACCCACTTCACTGAGGCATTTCCCCTCAATACTCTACTGAAAATGTTCATCTCAAAGTCTCCAGTAACCTATACATTACCTGATCCAATGTCATGTCTTAGTCAATGGTGTGTTGGTTAACGTTTAACAATGCCTCTTAAGGGAAGAAAAAAATCTCTCTCTGGCTCCTAGAGTCTGCTGATTTCCATGGTGTAAATACTCCAACTATGGTGAATTTCAAGTTTTTAACATGATGTCAATGAACACAGAACATGAATAAATGCATGCAATTGGCTCTTGCTTGCTGGTAGAGAAGGCCCTAGCACCCAACAAATTGGTCTTAATTTCAGTTGCCTTATCTGCAGTGTTTGATGTAACAAAATTACTGAATACTTCTCAACTCAACACAACATTTCTGGAATACTGCTGTCTTCTATTATTACACATACTGTGGTTTACTCCTTTTCATTGTCTCTTTTCAAACACATTAATACCCTAGGCCTCTAGATGTCAGAGGTCCCTATATTTTCACTTGAATAGCTCCTTCAGGCCTTGAAATTTAAATACCCTTTTGTATATCCAAATAACTTGTCCAGTTTTTCCTCAAAAAGTTTGACCACCTGAACTCCCATTTCAATTTCTCTATTCAGTATCTCTACCTAGATATTTAAAATTGAATTTATGTCCAACAATAAACTGCAAGCATTATTTTCTCAAGTCTGCTCCAGCTACAACGATTAGCATTCTTCTAGTTATGTCATCTAAATACCATTCTTCTAGTTACTTCATCCAAGTACCACGTTCTGCAAAGTGTCATTTCTGTCTTCTTTTTAATCTTGCATCCATATTCTGTTACTTCCATGCCCACATCAGCAAATTCTGTCATTTTTTTCTTTAAAAACATATTCAGAATTTACCACATCTCACCATCTCCACTTTAAACATCTTGCTCCAAGTCATCATCATATTTTACATAGATTATTTCCATTTGTTTTCTGGTCTCAGTGCTTCCACCCTTTCCCCTAAACTCTGCTATTAAAACAGAAACAAAAACCAAAGTGGATATACATTTGAATAGTGTATCCCACACTAACACTGTTCTCCTCAAGCCTTTAAATGTCTTTGCAGCTCACTTAAAATTAAATCTTTTCATTGCACTACAAATTTCTATACGGACTCCCTCCCTCTAGTTTGATAACATCCTTTGCCATCACTCTCCCCTTCACTCACTCAGTCTCACTCACACTGGCACCTTGTTGCTCAAAACATGCTATCATGAAAAGGCCTGAAATGTTTTTCCTCACATATCTATATGATTCAATCATTCATTTCATTTAAATATTTGTTCAAAGATGAAATCCTCATTGATACATTTCCTCATCACAACTTTAAAATGCTATGCATCACTACCATATCACTAGTAATTTTCTCATACAGCACACAAACACATATGCATATATGTGTATCTGTATGTGTGTGTCATATCCGTCTGATCCTACTAGAATATATTTTGCTTCTATTGGAATATATTTTATTTATTGAGGTATTCCAGTGTCTAGAAATTACTTGAACATAATATAGGAATTTAGAGAAACTTTGTTGAAGAAGTAAAAACAATAATAACTTAACACTTATTGATCATTACCTATGTTCAAACACAGTGACACGTTATAATTATGGTATCTCATATGAATTTCACAAACAAAGAAACTAAGGCACAGGACTGGGACTTAATTTTAGCTCTGACCACCTACTGGCAAGCATGTAATAAGATGTGGTCCTTGGCCTTTCATAACACTTAATGTTAGCTTATTCCCCAGTCATGTATAATTTTTTTCTTTATGCATATGTGTATATGACTGTTTTCTTGTATATTCTACAAACATTTCAAATAAATGGTTTTCTTTTCTGGGCTTAATCAGCCAGGATACTAAATTAAATTGTCAAGTGGCTTAATCAATTTTATCGACTGTAATATGTTTTCAAAAAATTTCCCAGAATAAAGCAAGATTACGCTCTATTTTGGACTTTGTGACCCAGAAAATTTAATATTTCAACACCAAAACATTGTTTGGAATCACCCGTCCAAACCCAAAGAATGGACTCAGGGTCAAGAAGAACAGTGGAAGCAAGACTTTTCATGACGGTCTTGCAAGATGTGGTGTCTGGTTGGCAGGCACACCCATGCCTGTACAGACAGTAATTTATCCCCTAGCATGCACGGCCCTCCCCCAGTTCTTCATTGGTTGAGTACTGTGGGGTTACAATCTTCCAGGACATCATCTGAGTTGTATTATCCCCCTTATAAGGTTATATCCCATCCTCGCTTAAGTTTCAATTTCCCAATAATGCAACTTTCTTCCCTTTTATGAGTGACCCCTCCTCTACATTCTGTTCACTTATCGTGACTTTCTAGGTGCATGAGCTGTGCATTTTGCCACATCCGCAGGCTGGCTAGATTTATCATGCCTTGAAAATGGACCATTTAAAATGTTTTCTCACAAGATCAGGGTGATGTTTGACTAAACTTTACATCTTCTAATTCAGAAGCCTCTTCTAGACATCCTTCAATTCAAAGATCAGAAAGTTCTGTAATTGTCCAAGTCCATCGTTGCATGATTTCTTTCTGAGAGGATTGTGAATCAGGAGATAATTTTTATTTTCATTTATTTCTATTTGGCAGATATCTGAGACATTGATCTTGTTTTCATTAGCTTCTTGGTACAAATGTTGGAGGAGGAGCATGTTGAGAGGAGATAATGTTTAAGTTTGGAATTCCTACAGCTACACAGAAAGAGCATATCTTATGATCTAGCATTGTTTAAAAGCTGTGGTTCCCTGAATACAAGGTTAAACAAAGTTTAATGGAAAATATAGATTACTGTTATTTTCATGGTTCAAAAGTTATTGTTTTTAATTATAATTATTTCTACTATTGGAGAAAAATATGATTTAATAAAAAGCCATCATTTTGTTCTGTTTGTTTTTTAACCACACAACTTCTAGGAGCCTATGTTACTCTCTTGAAGCTAAATAGGTCCTTAGAGAAGTGAATTGATTATTTCAGGCTACTAAGATACAACTTTATAACACTGTTGAGCATGCTATTTAACAGGCCAGATGGGGACACTGATATACCGAAACAGGGAAAATAAGTTAATGTGGAGGAGAATTTAGACACCAGAGGGGAATATGTGAATGTAAGAAAAGAAATTGTGAATGATATACAGGACCAAAGGAATGTACTCTTTGCAACATATTTCTTTCTAGCCTACTTTTTGACTCTTTTTTTTTTTCTTTTTTCTATACATAGATTGTGGCCATAATAGGATGGTACAAAATATGTTTCTAGAGAAACTGGCATTAACTGAACCATACTCTGCAAAACCCAAGCAAAAGATAAGGACAACAACATATGGACTTTTACAACAAATGAGTTCACATGATTTTTTTTTTTTTACATTCTGCAGCTATGAATAGATGAAAACAGCAGAATTCATGGACAATGGGGATATAAAAGGTGGCAATACAAAGTGGAATAGATAATAAATGAGGTGACTAGAAGAAAATGGAGTAAATTGAATGTGAGTTCACAGGTAACAACACAGAAGAGAAAAGAATGACTTATTGGAATCTTGCAATTTGTCAAAGGTTATTTAGCCTATAAGTCAACATTTTGTATAAATTTGAAAATTAAACTAGCTCTTACCTCCTAATGCACTATGATGTAAATTCATTTTAATTGTATTTGATTGATTTATTGACTCATCCTCCATACAAACATTCATTCATTATTAATTATTTCAAAGCATATTTATTTAAAAAATAAAACCTATCATAAGCCAGGTAGTTTGCTAAGTATGCAGAGGCATCAACAGACAAAGCAGAATAGGTCCTTGTCCTGATTTCAGATAGCCATAAAAGTTGTGATGAAATGAAATTATGTGATAGAGATAAACGGAAGAGGAAGTCATCGGTGTTAGTTTTTGTTGTTGTTGTTGTTTACATGTCCTATGAATGTTTGTGTGCCACGAAAATTTGTGTGTTGAAATCCTAACGCCCAAATTGATGGTATTATGTTGGTGCAAAAGTAATTGCAGTTAATTATTTTTAATGGCAAAAACCACAATTACTTTTGCGCTAATGTAATATTAGGAGGTAGGATTTTCGAGAGGTTATTAGATTGTGAGTGTGGATCCCTCATGGATGGGATGAGCACCTTTATAAAACAGGTTTCAGGGAGCATGTTTGCTCCTTCCAACATGTCAAGATGCACAAGGGAATTTGCCTTCACCAGACTATGTATCTGCTAGCTCCTTGATCTTTCACTTCCCAACCTCTGGAACTGTGAGAAGTATTAATAAATTTCTGTTGTTACAAGTTACTCAGACTAAGGTGACTTGTTATAGCAGCCTGAATGGACTAAGACAACCTGCTTAAGTCAGGCCCTGGGCCTTTTTTTTTCATACTAGTTAGAGTTATCCAACTAAGGAATCTGGATAAACCAGAGTGAAACACAATCCATTATTCTCTAAATGTTGCCGTGGTTAGACACAGTAGAAGATAGAGGCATAGGAGCCTGGATAATTATAGCTTGAGATGGTAGCTACACAGTAGCTATATCTGCCCATAGACTTCACCATAAGTTTGCCTTCCCAGTCCCACCGTAACAGTTTCATGTGCTCGGCATTTCAATTTCCCTGCAAGCTCTGATTTTTCAGTCATGAGCAGCACTTTAGAGAAAACAATTAGTGACTATTTCTCTGATCCTCTGAGCCCTCCTTCCAGTTTACTTTCTCAGCTGCTCCTACATGTCTGTAAAATATAACTTTTATAATTAAATTATTTACTTCCATATTACCCCATAGTGTTTCAATTTCCAGACTGATAGATATCTCTAAGAAGATGCCATTCAAACTGAGCCTGTAGGAAGAAATAAAAATCCAGGTATAAAGAAAATTAAATGAAGGCAGGGCACATTTAATTTTCAGATAAATTAAACACTTGTGAAGAAGACTTTTTGAAGGAGGAATGAGGAGAATGGGTTAGGAGAGAGATTATTCAACAAAACCCCGTGTATGATAAGAAAATATGGTGGATATGATTTTCTTCTTTCTATAATTGATTTGATTGGAAGGTATTTGGCATTATGTCTAAGCACTGTGAAATAAGTAATAAAGTTTGAAACTTTCTTGAACATAATAAACAGACTAAGCAAGCATACTGGACTTTCCACTTTCTGCTTCCTGCTCTATGCCCCAGATGGCTGACCTGTGTGGACCACATCAGTGGGCTTTCTTGTTCTCTAGCTCCTAGTTGAGTTTGACCAGTAATAAGCAATGACAATAGCTCTGAGGGGAGGAGGAGAGTGAAGTCTGGGTCCTTCCTTGTAGGATGGCTGTGTTCTGGTACTAAAAGTCACAATTCCTATTAGATGCATCTCACAACACTGACCTCCTGTCATCTTTGAGTGGTACAGGCAACTGGTTGTTACTTGCTTGGGAATTACATTTTCCTAATGTGGCTTTCCTTTCACCTTTATGTCAAAAGAGCTATCTATTAAGTTTTCCTTAAATTACCCAATGTGAGTAGTTGCTGGGATGCTAACTGATAGGGTCAGAGATACTGAATGAATTTTGTAACAGAAGCACAGATGTGTACAGTTCAAATAATCTTGACAATTGTTACATGTCCGAATTAATGCACAGAACTTCCTTATTTTTTGAAATTAAATCTCATGTTGTATATACAATATGATTAGCTTCTATGTTGATAAAGTTCAGTATTCATCAGTATGAAATTATTTTTGTAAGACCAAAATACACACATATCAAAAAATTCAAGAACAAAGTAAATGTACAATATCTAGTGCCAGTGAACAAGTCAATATCCATGACAGTAGAAATATAGAGGATAGGTGTAAAATGAGCCAAAAAAGATAAAAATAAGAAAACAAAGTCAACCAATATTAATTCAATATAACAATTTTTTCATCCACCACTAGAAGTTGGATGGAGAGAACTGACCACCTATATTCAAACTACCTGTGACAATTATTAAAAAACAGTTTAGAACAATGAAAAAGAGATATAATATTACCTTGAATATATTACTTCAATAAATTTTATACAGTATGAATTCACTGTGTAAAATATATATAAGAAAATATATATAAATTATTAAGATTTTATACTGTATCATGTCTGTTAATTTCACTTAGAAAAAAAGTGGGTCTTTTGTTTTGCTTGGATTCTAGTATGTTCATAATACTATATGTTTTCAAGTCTTAGAAATTACCAAAAGATAAAATTGATAAGGACAAGTATAATTTCTGAAGTATGAAGACATTTAAACATGACGTTAAAAAATTGAGCTGAAGAAGAGACAAAAAAAGTGAGGCATCTTTAGATTCATATGTTTTAGGTAAATAAGATAAATCAACTATATAACACAGTGATAATTTAAAATCAAGCTTTGGTATACATTTATAATGCAACCCAGGCCTTAGTCAGAATTGAACAATCAGTCTAGCTACCACAATGCACAGTTTCCAAGTCTACCCAGCTTAAAGCATACCAGATAATAATAATAATGATGATGAAGATGATGATCATGATGATTACTACTTTAATCTACTTCTTTTAAAACCTACTTAAGAATCACTTTGTCAAACGCGTTCTTTGAATTAATACCGGGGTCTTGCCTTCCTATTCATAGTTATATTTCCCATTTCAATTCACATACATGTTATCTTTTTGCTCTCTGATTTTAAACTTGCTGAGCCTTTGGATTACTTACTATACCCCTATGTTAAAGCCTTAAGCTGTCTCTGTTGTTTGTACCTAACATTTTGTTAACATTTTTTATAGTGCTGATGATGAAAATGAAATTCCACACATGTGTGCTAAACCATGACCAAGGGAAGAAATAAGAAAGATGCTCTTTATGATTCTAGAGTGTCTGTTGTTGAAATAGGCCATACGTGTTTCTGTGACTCATTTATTAGGATGTATTCATTAGAATGAGTGTGTCTTTTTGTCATGCATAGAAGTTGAAAGAAAGAGAGAAGGAACCCGTTGCAAAAAGTACCTTTGACTTGCTACAGATGATTCTTTTCTGAATTGGAAAAGATTTGGTAAAAGGTAGAGATGCAGCAACATATTTTTTCTTCTTATAATATTTTTACATATTTTTAATTAAAAATATTTTTGGAACATTTGGATGCATTGTGAGTAATTGGCTATTGCTAGAGATGGGCAACAGATGGTCAGAAGTATCTACAAGCCAGAGGAGCTGGTTTGTGGTGAGATCAAACTTTTACTTAAAAAGGAAGAAATGAATAAAAATCCAAAGTTAAACTTTGGAGAGGAGAGGGATACTAGTGTTAACAGTGAGAGATTCTCAAATAAAACTTTTTACATAAGTGAGATGTGAATTCTTTTGATTTTTTTAGGGCTACAATAGACAGTATTTATTGAGTGAGAGGCTGTGACCATCATTTTACATGCATTGTTATATTTTTGTAACCTTGACATTCCTATGAGATAGACATTGTATTGTTCCCATTGTTCAGGTTAGGAAATAAAGGCTGGCATAATATGTCTATAGTTCTGCATCTAACGAATGACAAAGCTGGAATTGAAAGTTTTGTCTTCTCTGGTTTAAAGCTGGTGCTTGGGTTTTTTTTGTTTTTTGTTTTTTGTTTTTTTAGACAGAGTCTCGCTCTGTCGCCCAGCCTGGAGTGCCGTGGGGCGATCTCGGGTTCACTCCATTCTCCCGCCTCAGCCTCTGGAGTACCTGGGACTACAGGCACTTGCCTCCATGCCCAGCTAATTTTTTGTATTTTTAGTGGAGACGAGGTTTCACCGTGTTAGCCAGGTGCTTTTTTTTTTTTTTTTTTTTTCCTTTTTTAAGCAAAGAAAAAATTTACTATCATTAGGAATCCAAGAAATGGTCCAACTACCAATATTCAGGAAGGGCAAGGAGGCTACTGGGTCTTAGAGACTTCTACAAATAGGTTCAAAACCAGGGCTTGTTCACCTCTCATTTCTGCTTCTTTTCATACGCTAACTTTTAAAACATTGTGGGTACATAGTATGTGTGTATATTTATGGGATATATGAGATATTTCAGTACCCAGATACCTAGACAAATTTTTATAGGTTGCTGGATAACTTTACATATTTTTTTCTCTCCCCCTTTTCCTCCTCCCTTTTTTCCTCTCACTTTTTCATCTCTTCCTTCATGAGGCTGGTAATGCAGAACCATAACGGACTGCATAAATTCCTGGACATTGTTTAAGTTACAATAAAAATACTGGCTTTTCTATCACTGGTTTTGTTTTCTGCAGAAGGAGAAAACCAGTAAAATTGAGACACTGAGGTTATGTTTCATAGGAGGAACACAACTTAAATCAATATTGATAGTTTGTGTAGTGGCATTCGGTGCTTTAAATTCTAGTTTTATATCCTGTCTTTGCAAGTCTAACTTTACTTTTAAGAAATGACTAGATCTAAGGCAGTCCTGTATCCATTTGGAGATAGATCTATATGTATCCCTGAGGGCTGAACTGAGGTCTATAGAAATCACACCTTCAACCCAAGGTATGATACCTTTTGTGACAGGTTCTTTGAAGTCTTCCTTCAATCTTTCTTTAATGAGAAAAAAAAGTTCAAACACACATTCTTTTTTCTATTCAGAACTGAGATTAAAAGTTTCCC